TGGTGTTGAGCATGCGATTAAACTATGATCATGGCAGGTGGATTTCCGCACCGCATCAGGCACATCATATAAGATGCCGCCTTTTAGTACGGATCACTCTTCTCGTATATCTACCGGACATACGGACGCCTAGCTGTATCGGTGAGAGTCGTTGTGTGCTGGTATCCTAGACACGCTACACCACCAATACACAAGTACGCAATACATAGATCAGAAACGGCGAACATAGGGGGTGCCCTTGAGGCGTCATAAGACGGATATTTTTTTACACCAAAAATATATCAGAATACTCCTCGTACCATGCTCTACGTTCGCTATTAAGCATATGTAATGGCATTGAGGATGGTATTCGTTGACGTGGAGCGCGGTGACTATGTGAATCCGGCAAAGCCTTCTCACCGCTGTCGACACTGTCACTGTATGACGCTCTGTTCCATACATTATTGTTGACCTAGAGGACGAGCTCCGCAGCTGGTGTGGCGGGGGGGGGCGCGTGATGAAGAAATCAATGCAAATGATTGCCTGATTACATATAGTCTGCCGACATATATGAGGTAGAGTTCAAGGAGTATTCACGTTGCACTCGACGCTATCAAAGTTATGGCGTAACAATTTGTGGCGCGAGCCCTGATAGATTCACACCGGAATATTATAATATATAGATTATATATATATGTATTTTGTGTGACATCTGTGTGTGTGTGTGCTGTGTGTGTGTAAGTGTGTGTTGTGTGTCGTGTGTGTGGTGTGTGTGTTGTTAGTGCTGGTGTATGTGTGTGTGTGGTGCGAGGTGTTTATGTGGGTGAGTGGGCGTGTGGTGGTCTGTGGTATATACTTTGTGATGGAGTTGATGATGGGTTGATGCTGTGAATGAAACAGCTCGGAGGAATCAAAGCGCAAGCGTCAAGTACGGCGCCATTCATTATTGCATCGTGTATAGCCATGGTTTCATGGAGAGTAACGGCATTCTCGTCCTTCTCTGAATACAGATAGAGTCAACACGAGACTTTTGCTTCCATTTACAGGTAAAGCTCTACCGCTTGATAAAAATAATGACGGCATTACTCAGCCTTCAAAGAGCTATCGGCTGGTAATGTTACCTATATATTATTATTTATCTATCTATCGTATCTATCTATCTATCTATCTATCATCTATCTATCTTCTATTATCCTATCTATCTAGCTATCTATCATATCTGTCTATCTATCTATCTAGACTATCGATCTATCTATACTATCTATCTATCTATCTACGATATATCGACTATCTATCTATCTTATCTATCTATCTATCTATCTATCTATCTATCTATTATCTATCTATCCTATCTATTATCTATCATCTATCTATCTATCTATCTATCTAATCGACTATCTATTATCTATCTATCGATTATTATCGATCTTATCGATCTATCTATCTATCATATCCTATCTATCTATCTATCGATCGAATCGATCGATCGATCGATCGATCGAGCTATCTATCTATCTATCTATTATCTATTATCGTATCTACTATCCTATCTATCATATCTTCTATCTATTCTATCTATCTATCTATCTATTATCTATCTATCTATCTATCTATCTATCTATCTCATCATCTATTCTATCTATTCTATCTATCTATCTATCTATCTATCTATCAATATCTATCTATTATCTATCTATCTATTATGCTATTATCTATCATCTATCTATCTATCTATCTATTTATCTATCATATCTATCTATCTATCTATCTATCTATCTATCTATCTATCTATTATCTATCTATCTATATCTATCTATCTATCTATCTAATTTATCTATCTATCTATCGTACCTATCTATCTTATCATCGGAATCGATCGATAGATCTATCTATCTTATCTATCTATTATCTATCTATCTATCTATTATCTATCTATCTAGCTATCTATTATCTATCTATATATCTATCTAGTCTATCTATCTATCTATCTATCTAATCTAATCTAATTTATCTATCTGTCTATCTGTCTGTTCTGTCTGTCTGTCTGGTCTGTCTGTCTGTCTGTCTGTCTGTCTGTCTGTCTGTCTGTCTGTCTGTCTGTCTGTCTGTCTGTCTGTCTGTCTGCCTGTCCTGCCTGGACTTGCCTGCCTGCCGCCGCCTGCCTGCCTGTCTGTCGTCGATCTGGCTGCTCTGTCTGTCGTCTGTCTGTCTGTCCGTCCGTCCGTCCGTCCGTCCGTCTGTCGCTCTGTCTGTCTGTCTGCCGCCTGCCTGCCTGTCTGTCTGTCTGTCTGCTGTCTGTCGTCTGTTCTTCTGTCTGCTCTGTCTCGTCATCGTCTGTCTGTAATGTTTGTCTGTCTGTCCGTTCCGTCCGTCGTTCCGTCCGTCCGTCGTCGGTCTGTCTGTTGTCTGTCTGCCTGCCTGCCTGCTGTCTGTCTGCCGTCTGCCTCTGTCTGTCTGTCTGTCTTCTGTCTGTCCGATCTGGTCTATCCGTCCGTACGTTCGTCAGTCATCCGTCCATCGT